TACGAAAATATAACAACACAGTCTAGTTATTTTAAGCTCATATGTAATATTTGATTGTCTTTTCCTTTGACTTTGACGAATTCTGTTAATTCAAAATTTTTATATAAAACCATCAAAACTCCTAAATATTCAACGATAGCAAACAATGCCTTAGTTAAATTATAATCTTGGTTATTTTGGCATCTTGTGCCCACTCTTTTAATTCTCCATTTTATTCAATTTACAATTGGTGTTTCTATGCTTCTCAAAAATATAAGTAATTTGTCTCTAATGACCCCCATGAGACGGTGGATTTTTAAAATCATCTTTATTATTCTTTTCTCAAAAGTTACATGCTTGGCAAATGCATATAGATATATAACAACTGATAATTTACGTACTGACAGTCGTAAGTTACAAAATCTATTTTCTAGTATCCATAAGAACGCATCTGAAAATATATCCTATCCAGAGATGTTTAATCACATTCGAATAGACAGAGAATATAACACTTACATATTTTTTCTTAAGTTTGCAAAAATAACTAATAACTTGAATCAAGCCACTGATATCAACGAAAATATAATTGTAGAGAATTTCTCTAAACATGCTGCTTCAGATATTAACTTCAATCATAAATTGCATTATTATATTGGTATCAACACAAATATACGTAAAGAAATATTAAAAAATCAAAAGTTTACAACTTTATTTCGCATTGATCACAATGGAATTAAATCACAAAAGCTCATTGACAATTATAGAAACAAAAGAAAACCTAAATATGAAATTGATATAATGTTTTCAACAAATTATATAAGTGAAAATTTTGAAGAAGATTTAAAATATGCTACTTTAATCAAAAAATCATATGATGCTAATGAAAAAATTGCCATAGAAACGTCGCTATTCGATAGCAAATTGTTTTTTGAAGTTTATAAAAACTTTGTAAAAAAGAATGAGAAATTAATAAAAATAAAGCGTTTAACAAAGCCTGGAAAGAAATTATCGCATACTCTCAAAACGCGTTCATTCCATGTTTTAGTTTTTAAAAATTTTTGGTCGAAAATAAGGGCAAATTATATGCATATTGGAAATATTATTAAATTGTGGAACTGTCTAAGCAGGCACTTCATCGTGAATGGCAATGACAAAACCGTAAAAAGGTCATCAAACAATGATCTTTTCATATGTTTTTGTGCAAGCTTAGTCACCACTAAAAACAATAAACAAGTACTAAATTTCTTAAATTATAACCTCAAGAAGTCCGCAACATTTCATATGCATCAAAACTACAATAACTCTACCTCATCAGAAAAACAAGTTGATATTAACGAACGAACAGAGTATATGCCATCGAAGACATACTTGTATTTTGAACTGAATGATACTGTTGATGAAAATACGATTTTTAATATCTTTGACACATTTTCACATGCATTATTGATATTAACCTCCAAAGTATCAGAAAAAATTATTTTTCAAAACATTAGAAATATATATCGTGAGACAGATGAAGTTAGATATCATGAAATGTATTTTCGTTGTATTTATCATATTATAAAAACCATTCAATTTACAAAGATGTTAAAGGAGTCATATTTAAGCAATATTAAAATAATAACGAATTCTGATACACGACTATCGTGCATCATTGATGAACTCGATATATGTTTTTATAAAATGCACAAGAATGTTTGTAAATTATTCAATCAGTGGGTCATTCCATATTTGAATGAAATTAATCAAGGAAGAACATTATATCAAAAAGTTGAAGACAGTAATCATGGAAAAAATTATGACAAAATTTTTAAAAACAAGCGATATTTGAAAGATTACATTTGTAGCTTATTAGCTAAATGGCTCAAATTAATTGATAGTTGTGGTCTTTTGAATGCTAAAGCCCTGAAGTATGGTATTTATATTAACTGCCTTAGCATATTAAGAACACATCAAATCATTTATACATTAGCATCTATGCTTACTGCAATAAGTAGCAAGTCAATTCACCATCTTAACTTTCACCTACTTCTTGAGCACATTGTTCTCTCGCAATTCGATCCAGAAAAAGTCGAATTATTTTTCGATCAATATGAACAATACTATAAGATAAATTGTGGAAATAGTAAATAAGTTGATAGAAAAAATACAGATGAGCACTTATTGCTAGCAATGTTATGTGTGTATTTTCTTTATTATAATAAAATAACATAATTACTTTCAATAAACCATCGTATTAGCTGTAGTAAAACATTTTTAGATGTATTTTAAAAAAGCATTGATAATTTAAAATGATTTGCTAAATCAGTTGCAACTAATTAGTGGATATCTTTGAATTTATTTAGTTAATTTCATGCCACTATTCAAAAATCAAAATTCTCAAATCAAACTACATATCAGCAATTATGTTTATGGAACATAACTAACATCAAGGATAAGGATTGCTAATCTTTTAGGTTACTTTTATTTGATTTAAATTTTCAAGTTACGCTTGTGTCTTCAAGCATATTCCAATAAATGCAAAAGACAAGCTGAATAAAATATAATTCAATTAATATTTTAGATGTGTAGCTTTTGACAGAATAATTGTCTTCTAATCATTCATTTAAGCATACATAAAATTTTAGTTAACTTTCTAGACAAAGCAAATTTTAAATGCAGAAATATGATTGATTGTATTTCATTTTAGTATAAACATTTATAGACTTAATCTTAACATAATAAAACTATTTGCAATATTAATTGACTGTATAACATCAAAAATATATATATAGTAGTTTATTTCTCTCCTGAATTTTCTGATTTAGCTGTCAAATCATTCAATTCTTAAAGATTGATCAAACAAAAACATTAAAGAATAAAGTTGGGGTAGCAATGGAAGAAAAAATTGAAAATGGTGTTAGTTTGGTTCTAACTTTGGCAAAAATAGAAAGCGATTATTTCCTCGATATTGCGGATAGGCATGAAATTCGATTGGTTATTAAACAGATTGACTTTAACTTTGAAAAAAGGGGGCCAAATTACAACAAAGAAAGAGATGCCAAGAGTATGATTTCGCTTTTTTTAATATTAGAGAGATTCAAAAAACAGTTAATATTCGAAAACTTTGTTCTTAACTTTGTTGAATCTGAGATAAATGTATTTGCATCTAATCTTGACTTACTTGCATCAGATCTCTATGAACATGAAAACAATAGAAATGGTATCCATAAAAATGCAAGCTCTGCGTCTATTCAAAACAATTTGTTATGTAAGAGGCCTGAATCTTACATGTTTAGCCAACAGAGAATTAAAAATAAAAGAGCAAACTATCCTAAAAAAATATCGAGAATTTTGAAAAACTGGTTAAAAGAGAATATGAACAATCCATATCCCTCAGAATCTGAAAAGGCTATGCTTATGGAGCTTACTGGCTTGGACGTTACTCAAATTAATAATTGGTTTATTAATGCAAGAAGGCGAATTCTACCCTATATGAAAAGTAAGTATATCAAATATGAATGAAATGTATCATTTATTTTTGGTTAGATATTATTTTGCTTTTATTTGATTAAAGATTGAGGCTGTAGATAAGATGTTTTTGCAATATATTTTGTTGCAAAATTTTAACATAAATAAGGAATATGACGAAAATATTGGTTGGATAAATGATTATTATGCCATATTTTATAAGGTCTAATTTTAAGTTGATATGTTTGCCAGTTAGCATGA